AAATAATTTTAAAATTATAAAATTTATTACCGATTTCATTATCTCAAATTTAATTCTATAAAGATATTGATCAAGTTCCTTAATTCAGCTCTGAGCTCATTGATTGCATCATTTCCCTTAATGTAGTTCATCAGAAGTTTAATATTGAAAAATGGATTAAGTATTATATACACTCATAATTCATGAAAAAGTAATACAAATATGTTACACATTATTGCAGCATCCCTCATTAAAATAAGATGTCATTAAATAACGAAATTATTTAATAACTTTTTTATTAAATTAAATTAAACGAAATTATTTAAATTTTTCACTTCCAACGTTGACTACGATAGTTGACTATTTTGGTTTAAATGACATTATTGTGCGTTATAAAACATTTTAATTCTTAATTTAGTATATATTAAAATAATTATTATTAATTAATAATTAATAATAGTATATTATTTTATTTTATTTTATTTTATTGGCATTATCGCCATTTTAGATATTTTATAAAAACGAAATATAATTTAAATGTACTGATATCAGAAAATAAAACAAGATACTTGCGAACAATTTAGTATTTTTATTAATATTATCATCAGTCAATTTTGTACCGTATTTTATGTTCGTAGCACTCCATTCACAAAAATGTAGTGGGAACTGTCTTGTTAAAGAAAAACAATACTTAAATTTCTTAATTTCATAATGAAGGGAACAAAACTGAAGATCAAGGGTTTTATTCTAGGTTCAATTGTTCAACTTAATAAACCGAAAATCAGTCCACCGACAATTAGCTGAATCCTAGGAAGCAGGGGTGCACAGAAGGGGATTTCATGGCGCAAGATGCACCATCAAAATTGTTGAGGGTGTCATATGTGATCGGTTTTTGAATTTTTGAGAGGGGCAAATTTCGATGGGGTGACGAGTTTTCGGACTAAGGGACGATAAGAGGAAGTCATAAAACAGACTGTAGCAAGGATAAGTTTATGATCTACGGCTTTGGGGCTGAAGCCTCCCTCCCAAAATGTTAAATTGTAACCCTGTTTTACGGAAGAAAATATTAAGAATTATCTCTTAAAGTATTATTGTTTCAGTAATTGCATTAAATAGGAATTCAAGTATCACTTAACACCATTTCATATTGGTAGTTATTTTCTTTACTTGTTTTCCAAAGTAATTATCGTTACATATATGAAAAAAAAAACCTATCGGGCTGAAGCCTCCTCCAAAATGAAATCCTGAATCCGTTAGTGTTCGAAAGTGGTATAAATAGAGATGATCAAAATGTTTTTTGTTTGATAGTTTTTAATCTATTAGTTCGACCAAGACAATTATCGAGGAAATGTCTTGCAAATAGCAAATGAAAAAAAGTTTGTAAAACTTGATGACATCATTGACCCCAGAAACAGTATCTCGTTAGCCATCGGCAGCAGCATTCTGCTACTGAAGTTCATTAAAGCTTCTGTAAGCCAGTTTATGAGGGATATTTCGTAAGGATATATTTCCAGCTTGAAGTCCTCGTATTCCAGGAATCGAATATCTAATATCGCGGCCCTGCAAAATCCTTCAGGACCAATGGACACCTCCACCATCATTTCTACAGAGTTCTTTCCAACTGACACACTGATGTTTCCTCTTTTGGAGAATAAGAACAGATCCAGGATCAAATCATATTGAAAAACTAGTTTTTGAAGGTTGAGATTAACCTTGAAGTATTCAATGGTGAAACCATCTTTAGTCTCTGTCTTGTTTAGGAATGGTTTCCCCTGGAGATGCCAAGTAGAGAAATCACTTATTTGTCCATTCGCTAGTTTAAAGGTCACTAAATTCAAGTTCGGAAGTTTTATCACATCCAGGTTTTTATGTTTCGTGTACTGGTTCACTCTGGCTACAAACTTTTCTAACTGATCATCGAAATTTTCGTCGGAACTATAATGTACAGATTTAGAGCAAGATAAGTGAAACATCACAATGAAAAACAGGCACACGCGTAACATTTTCACTGATTTTAGTTAATCTCTTTTGTAAGACTGGTGTGTTAATGCCTTATAAACAAAAGTCCTTACTCAGCCTGATATGGCTTCTATAGCTTTGTCGACGATAATGCACACATGTGTTAACTCACTACTGCGAGTGATTAACAGTCAAAGGGCATCTCGAGAATAATAGTCAGCAATATTTATAATGGTACAATCCTTCTAACCAGGATTTCCACCTTGTTTAACAGGAAATGTTAAAAACAATATTTAAGGAATTAAAAATGGTTGGTTATACAATTGTGTTAGTTAAAAAAAAAATTGAAAACTTTGGAATGAAATTACATAATTAAAAAAAATACTCTAGAACTTAGAAGAATTAATTGATGAGTCTCGTAAAAAACGTTGATTGATCTCGTAAAAAATAAAAACTCAACTAAAAACCTTCGTTTCAAGTTGTTAATGTTTTAGAAAAGCTGAGATTATAAGTGATAACGTAACTTTATAACTCCTTTTTCAACAGTATTAGTTGATGAACTGAGCCGTTTTTATATTTTCATTACCTTCAAAGTGTTCAATACCTTTTAGTCTGCCAAAGAGACCATTTTTTGTTCTCACATTATTGACATTCGCCTAAAACTTCGCGAATAGCTTCACCTCATCGTAACTTACTACTTTTTTATTTACGAAAATTCAAGGAATTGGGACGTTTGGCCTATATTTTATGGCCTATAAACGACCCAATATTTTTTCTCCATGTAGTAATCAAATTACCTTACGATTCAAGTTGAAAGCAAATGGGCATTCGTGAATTTTTAGTACCTAATTATATAGACATGGTTTATAATTATATACATATATAGGTACATAATTGTATAGACAACCCAATTCAGAGAATTTTCGTAAATAAAAAAAGTATTGGTTTACCAAGTTGCCTATCTTTTACACTCAAGAAAATTAAGACAAATTTTTTATCAAATGTACAAAATACATGACAAATGATATCCTCTGATGGATGCAAAAATACGACTATCCCTGGGAATACACAATAGCAACCCTGCTTTAAACTTTACTCCCCTTACTTTACTTTACTACACTCAATTCTATTTCAAGGTTGGACTCAAAAACTTTCAATAAGGGTGAAAATAGCTATCCATTATTAATTTCTCTTTAAAAATTAAAATATAAATGAACTCATATTTTAACAAAAAAGTAGTAAGAAATTTTATTCTATATGATAAACTCACTTATCTTCATTGATAGCCTTTTAAAAAGATAGTGCTTAATGTTTCCATTCTGTCATGTTATCAGCTTTATTTATTTAGATGATGTTAGGTTAATTATCGCAATCAACATTTTCCTCCATCATTACCACATAAGAATTTATTTAATTGGACATAAAAGAAATTAAAATAATTCATGGGAAACCATGGGAATAATTTCATTAAAGTAATCATCTATCAATAATAAAATTTTATTTTACAGTATAGCGCAATCTTAGTAAACTGAATTCATAAAAAAACAAAAAGGAAGTGAATAAACAAAAGTTAAAGAAAGATATGGTAAATGGGCTCTACCAAGCTGTTTCCAGATTGATTATCTGTTTTTCCAATCCTTCATTTTTTCATAAGCAAAAATTCAATAATCTCAAGTGAGTAAACTTCTTTTTTTTTTTTTTTACACCCTTCCTCACCTTTTTGAGGTTATATGAGGTTTTTCTTGGTCCAGGGTAGAGGGCAAGATTAATGCTAGAGTTAAAAAGCCCCTCTTCTCCCCCATAACACCAGGATGCAAACTCGTAATTATTTTATCATATAAACTTCTGATTATCAGGTTGCAGGGCACATCTGTGTATCCTGTTATCAATTTTTTTTTATATATAGTTATTAAGTTCCATCTTTTATTGTAATTTTAACAGTCCCTGTAATCGAAACATCCAACTTCAAGAATTCAGATTACTGAGATAGCTCTTTAGGTAAATAAAATTGGTACATTATTTGTGGTTTTAACACGTTAACATAATAAATAAGCTGTCATTTTTGTTTGAGCTTCCTTCTTCATAGCTATCCCAGTAATCTGATATTTTTGATTGAGCTAAAAAATATTTTCGTTCTGGGACCAAGAGAGCTTCTATACTTCTAAATACTATGACAAATTGAACTGGCTTTATGCTTAATACTGACAAAAATACTTCACAGTTTAGCTTATTTATTATAATTTCAAATAACACAGTCCTTAGCTTATCTTTAATTCAAATCAAAAATTTATCCCCATAATACAGACTCTTCCCTTACCAGTTTTTAAAATATTCAATACTTTAAAATTGTAGTAATCAACTATCCCTATCTCTTTTATCAGTGATATTTCCATCCATCATATTCAAAATTATAATTCATGTATTTATTTGCATTCAAATACATGGTAAATAAATAAAATGATCTCCTTCCTCTTCTTTCAACTCCCCTTAAATTACTAAGTTTATATTTTTATAATGTTATACATGTAATATTTTAAGTGGGTGCATTATGGATGGAACAGTTTTGTGTGTTTTTATATTGTGAAACTATGTAGGAGAAAGGGCAAAAACAAACATTACTAACACATAGAATATTTACAAACCATCAGTAAAAAATTAAAACTATGTGTACTGCCCTTCGCTCACAGTTTGAAAAAATATATATATACTTCATATTATTGGACAGAACCATGTGTTAAAATAAAAATATATTTAGTATATGTTTACAGAATTTTTTTGGGAAGTGGAGTAGCTTATAGAATTTTTAATCATAATATTTTGTTATGAAAAAGGGTAGTTTTTAAATGTAATTATAGCCAACTTATATGGTACATCTTTAAAATGATTCATTTAATCATAAGATGAAGTGCTTTATTTTACATTTCAGGCCATTATCAACAGGATACTAAACTGTCAAAGGAAATTGGACTGTAAAAAATAAGTGCAACCAGTTTTTATTTATAAAACAGAAATAATTCTATTAACATTAGAATAAAACAATATAAAATAACAATAAAATAAAAATACCAACTGATCGACACACATAAGTTTAATAAACTGTTTATAAAAACTAAAATTAGAAGGTTAGAATAAAGAGTTGAAAGAATCAATGTCAAAAGTACAATAAGAACATGGCAGAGTAAATGATAAAATTAGTTAAAATGGGTGTTCACTACAATATATTTAAATAATAATAAAAAAAAAAATAGATAATAATATTTTTAAAAATTCGTTACCTAATATCAATCAACTCTCTAAGATACAAAGCCACTCTATTTCTGTATTTTATTTGAAATTTAATGTTGTCATTTCAATAAACTACTATTCATATCGTGAGGTTAATGCTTCAGACAGGTCAATCACATTAAGGCAGTTTAGGATCAAGCGATTGAATTATAAAGTATGTTAACAGTTAAATTGACCTCCATATTTGTTTTGATTTATCGACTTAAATGGTGTCCACAATAAGCCCAAAATACAATACATGGTTATATGTAAAAATATTTTGTTAATTCTAATTATAAAAATTGAATGTCAACAGACACTATCACAATCGGTGTATAATATGTATTAATAGAAAACAGTCAATTATTCCATCATAAGAATCTTCTAAAATTTCACTGTTATAAGAGGTTTTTCCTCTGCCTAAGTTTACTTATTTCTATTTAAAAAATTGTCACCTAAGTGGAAGTATTTATAAGGTAATAGCTTTTTTACTATCAGCATACTACTTCAAATTCATATAAATATATAATAGAGCAAATAAATGTTTGTAACTTAAGCAAATTTAACATAAAAAATTTGTCAAATATACTTTTAATTATATATGAAATCAAGTCAGGATTACAAACTGGGAAAATGAAAGCAATTATCATACTGTTAATGTATATTTATACAATATATATATATGAGGATATATATATTTATATTTTAGCATAATTATATAGTAAATAAATATTGGAACTCATATTTATGTCAATAGTATAATTTGAAGTAATATCAAAACTTTGAGCTGATTGATCTTAACACAAGATAGTCGCTAGCCTTTGTTCTCCAGCGGGGAGGTGACAAGTGTTTTCCCACCAGCTATCGTAGTCTTATACTGTTCTGGCACAGGTTGTTCGATCTGAAAAATGAAAATAATAAATTAAAGCATTTGATAAAATATCACATGAGCTTTCAACACTTAAGAAACTAGGAAACTTAAGAAACACCATAATTTGATAAATGTAGCTGGATTTGTCCAATTATATTATAAAGTTTTGAGTAAAATGAAATTCTTAGAAGAAAATACTGTTTTTAAACTTTAATGGTCCACTATCATTTTCTTAAGCCCCTTTCAATTCCTATTTCATAAGTAAAAAATCATTTTAGTATTTGCAGGTGTTATTTGTTTCATTTCTTTCATAGCCTTTTAACAGTCCCTTCAGCTTTTCAAATATTATTGATAGCAAGAATTGAAGAGGCCAAGAGAGTGTGATAGGTAATTATTTAGCAGTGTATCTACTTCCAATTTTAACTGAATGCAGTCTATGTTGGCTAGGCACACTGAATTTATTCGTAACAGGAAATGAGTGGGACTTTAAGGTAGGATCTCTGGTTTGACAGATGTTTCCTGACTTCAGTTGGGGAAAATAAAAAACAAGCACATTGTTGATCCAAAACTACAGAATAGTCTATTTTACAGACATCTATACTGAATCTCATGAATACTGTAAAGTTGAGAAACAGGTACCATTGTACCTGGGTATTAGTGAACGGTGCTTGGTAATTTACCTAGAATATACCATTTGATCTTACACAACCCTTGATACAAATCCAGTCTTCCTTAAAAAAAAAAAATAAATAAATAAATAAAAAACTGTACAACTACAACTCATGGAGGGTCATGGGTTCAATATTTTGTGAGGAAATACTGTAGTTGTGCAATGAGGTGATTTGACCAACATCATGTTCAATCAACAGGTTTTACTTCAAAGCTAATTATTTAATTAAAAGTATCCATTTTATAAAGACTGAGTGTGCCGCAGGAGGGTTTCCAAAACCCTAGGATCGATAAATGAATGACGTAAATAAGACTTAATAATTACCTTCCATAGCCCCCATCAAACCCGCTTGGGCCCAGTAGCATAGGAGCGTAGTGCATTACTCACTATGCTACCTACCTTCTCTCCCAAAAAGGTGAACAGTTTTGGTGAGACAGTCCCAATTCTTAACCATTTGTCCTATGTCTTCTGGTAATTTGGATAAGTCCCGATTTTTGGAAAGAATGCGTAAGCTATGGAATGGAAGGATAACGGAAAGGAATATATAGTTTTCGGCGGCCATGTAGCTATTTCGCCAGGATATGAGTGTCATATTATTATTTTTATATTTTATAATGTTAAATTTTAATAATAGTGAATAATTGTTAAGAAGTGATTATCAAGAACTGCTTAGAAAATTTCGCATTATTGATCATTTGTTAGAATTCGTCCACCATTGTTTGGACTTAATGATAATAAACAACCCGAAAATGTTATATCTTTCAAATGATTCGTTTAATCATAAGATGAAGTGCTTTATTTTACATTTCAGGCCATTATCAAGAGGATCCTAAAATGTCAAAGGAGATTGGACTGTAAAAAATAAGTGCAACCAATTATTATTTATAAAACAGAAATAATCCTATTAATAACCTTTTTAATGAGATATTGTTATTTAAAAAATATATTGATGAGGAAAAGATTAAATCTTGGGCATCAGCAAACTAACTTCATTTACTACTTCAATTACTGAAATGTTGTCACCTTCAATAAGTTTATAGCATTTTGAAAAAGATCTACTTGATTGTGTACAAACTGCTAGCAGAAAACATTTAAATCTTAAAAGCTGTGTTATTATTAAAGCCATAAATATATCATCAAATTATTCATTTTAAAAAATAAGCTTTCAGAATTAAATCCTCAACATTATTTCTGCTGAACACTGATTAACATTTGCACTAGTTTATAAAATTAATTGTTGTACAAATGTGAGCTATTGTTTGGAATTAATGAACCTAATTTTTAATCAACAACCCCCTCCCCCCTTGATGGTGTACCACTTTACCAATGTTAAAATCTGGTCACCTTAACTTGAGAGATGTGAAATCATTATTGTTTGTCGGGAAAGAGATATGGAAAAGAGTGTCATTCCTTCCATTATTGTAGTTGTAATAGATATTCATGGATTTGTCAAACTAACTTCATTTAATTACACATGCACATACACACACACATAGAGTTAAGATGAAAATGTAATCAAACAAAAACTAGATTAAAATACTTACAAAGTCACCAGATGCCTGGGGAATCATCACATTCATTTCAGAAGATTTGGAACTTACAATTTCGACATCTAAAGACTCTTTACTGAGGTACATTTGACAACCATCTGTCTTATCTATAGATATGGTTGGAACTCTTCCTAATACCTGGAATAAAAATTGAATATTAGAAAATTAAATAATCACATGACCAAATTAATATTCAATGATTATCAAATCTGATACAGAACAATAATTTAAAATATGAGGAATAAATAAACAAATTAAAAGAAGTCTCCTAAACACTATGACAGTAAAACCAGAAAGATGTTTTACAGAGCAACATCCATTTTAAATATATTTTGACATAAGCCTTACCTGCATCTGAACAGATTGACAGTTGACAATTTCAATGGAAGACACAAGTGAGTCTACGAGAACTGAAGTCTTGCGGCATGAATCAAGGAATACTGAATTTACTTTTCCTTTCACTGTTAGAGTTGAATTAACACATCCAAACATGTAGACAACATTGTTCATATCAGCACCTTCAACTACCAGGTTTGGATTGTCTTTTTGATGTTCCTAAAAAAATTTAAAACAATAGTTTAGCTGATTGATTAAATTTCATAAAATTTGTTTTAAAATTATATTTAAATTTTTGTTTAGTTTAGATAGACTACACCAATTAGACATTGTTAAAATGTAGTCTCAAATAATGAACAGTTCAGCACAAACAATTGCTTAAAAAATTATGGAAGCGACCGAGGACTTAATATGCAAGTTGTTGATAAATGGATGAGATTGGCCTAGTGGTTTTAAATTTTTTTTTAAGGAATTCAAGCCAACATTAAACATATTTATGATTATACAAAGACTAAATTAAAACTGAATATTATTTACAAAAAGTGATTAAATAAGTATATATTTTTTTTATTTAAAAAATATAATAAATAAAAGTAAAATCACTTACAATAAGCCACTTCTTGCCATCCCTCTTAAACACAGGAGGTTTGTTGGTAGGTTGAGTTGGAGCTCCTCCAATTGGTTTCACTGGAGTCACAGCTTTGAAAGGAGCAGGACCTGATCTTAACGCTGGATTTTTGTGAGTCTGCATCTCGGAAGTAACTTTTTTCAAACCTGAAACAGATAAAATTTCATTAAAAAGAGATTTCATAAATATTTATTTTTTTCAATTTATATTATAGTCAAAAGATACTGATGATTTTATATCTTTAAAAAACAATAAATAAGGAATCAACACAAATAATATAAAGGAAAATCACCACTTCTTATCTTCCCCAAACTTGAAAACAATAAAATTGCATTTTATGATTAAGGAAATACCATTGCCAATTTTTTAGGATACCGTAGGCACTGTATTTCAATACTGCTTTATCCATACTACCACACTTTAAACATTAAGTAAAATTCAATCTTTTTATATACTTTTAATTGAATTGAATTTGACATGAAAATTTCATTATGTATTAATGGAAGGCTTCAGAGAATTTCCTTCCTGTCAGTACCCATATTGCCTCTTCTCAAGCAAGATATTTCTCGAATTTCAATTGGTTAGTGTAAAAATAATAGGGAAACAAGTTATTTTTTATTTTATTTATATTACTAATTTTATGAATGTATGAATTGTATGACTCTTTAAGATAAAAATTAAATTTCATATATTTTTAAATGTGACTTTATGTGATGTGATTTCATTCTACAGAGAAAATATTTTTATAGAAAAACATTGAAGATCGCTAAAAAAAAAAAAAAACTATGGTGTGTGCTTTAGCCCACACCATAGAAGTGAAAATATCAACAAGGCAAGATTAATAATATGAAATATAAATTTTTTTTTTGTTCTATATTCACAAAATAATAACATTTAAGACCTATTGGCTTAACATCTATCAAAAAATCTGCCATTTATTTAATATCACTTCTGTAACGAGGGTCAGTAATTTGTCAAAACTCCATCGAGTGCAAAAGAAAATTGAATAGAAACACATAAGTTTTTATTTCTCATTTTTATGACTGATTAAAAAAAAATATCTATATTGACTTCCGGAAATCAGTTTCTATTTCTTTATGGTCTTCGAAATATTTTAGTCCAAATGTTCAAAACAGTCTTTCTTATTTCATTTTTTGGCACTATTGTTTTTCCTTTCCGATTCTCCGACTCTGTATCACTTTGAAATGCAATTTTCATTTATAGCTCATTACAAAGTGAATGAAATACTGAACATTTCTCTCACTTACAGTATGCTGGTCCGATTTTTATTTTTTGAGATATTTTAATCCTAATCTTCAATAAAATTGTTATCAGTTTGTTTGCTACACTTGATTTCCCTTTCACCTCTAGCCTAGTGTCCCATTAAGTTACAATTTTATGAGAATGAAATACTGAACATTTCCCTTGCTTAGAGAATGCAAGTATGATTTTTCGTTTCTGAGATATTTTAATGCATATGCAAAAACACTTCAATTAGTGGACTCGAGCCGACTTAACCCGAATGTGCGTTACACATCCGTGCCAGACAGCTCAATTTTATTCATTCTCCACCAAAAAAGTGCATAACGTGCCTGAAGAAGTTTTCACTTCTCAAGGGTTCACGCATTTTTTTTTTTTTTTTTCATGCAAGTATACCATTAATTTGTTAATTAGTAAATTGTTATTGGGTTCATTCGTATTCGATAGATGGTATCTCTAAGACTGAAGAGATTAAACTCTGTAATATAACAACACACAGTAAAATCTTTGTCTTTGTGAAAAACTATAACATATATATCTCACTATCAGAAAACAATTAAATTTGAAACTACAAAAATAATAAACCTAAAGATCTAGTAACAACTTACAATGGCCTTAAAGATGAATTCACAATATTAAAAGTCACATACTTTTAGTTGAATTAACATCAATAAGTAAGCAATAATTATACAATTAATTAAAACAATGATTCTGAAATATATTTTAAACAGTATGATTCATATTGATGGTATAAATAATTTTTAAATTACAAAAATAAAAAATGCTATCAATACAATCCTTTTGAAATTAATTTATTATTTCTTAATAATTTTGAAGTGTGTTTATATAGGTAGATTATAGTATTTTATTTTTTCAGTTACTAGGTAATACAGTAAAAATAAACATATGTTTTTTAAATTATAAAGTTAAAAATCTGGAAATATTAGTGCGACTTTAAAACAAACTACATGTTTTACATATATATGTTGTTGACATGCTTACTGTGTAAACAATATAATGAAACTATCTATTGTGTTTTGTTTTTTTTAATTCTGATATTTTGTACAGTACATTTGCTAAGATTTAAATATATATGTAAATAAAACAGAAAACATAACAACCCGCAAATGGAACAGAAAAATTAAAGCAATCCTAAACAACTGCTTACTCTTTGTGATGCCTTCGCCTTGATTGATTTCAGCAAACAATGCTGACCTCTCATCACCGCCAGTTGTAGAAGAGTCAGTCAACAGGAGGTTCTCGAGAGTAGGGGGTGGTGGAGGTGGAGGTGGACGAGCGGCAGGACCTACGCCCTTGGCTGCCCATACCAAGCCAGTTGTATGAACTTCTTTAACGTAAGCCTGCAGTTTTGTAAGGCTCTCAATCCAAGATCTGGTCCAATCAACATGGGTCTTATCCCTGAAAATTTCAATTACATACAATAATGGGTTGCATTATTAAAAAGTGAACTAAACATAGTGTGTTAAGCAATTATATCTATACCCTTGCTCCTTCAACAAAAAAAAAAAAAAAAACAGAGGATCAAGCATGGCTGCTACATGAACTAATTTTTTAGTGTACTACATATCAGTTCATATTTTTTCACATTGTTTTACAATTTTTTTTTTTAGTAACATACTTTTTTTTTAATCACGAACCGGCCCCTAAGGACCACGTGAATATCATTGGTTAGGCTTCTTTAGGAGTCTTGATTTTCTTTTTTCCCATTGCAGTTTCATGATTTTTGACTGAATTTCTTTTCTTTCTTTGGACCACTTTGTACCCCTCCTTATTTCTCTTTCAATACTGGTGAGATTTTTCAGTGTTTTCCTATATGTGTCTATCTAGACAGTCGGCATCTGAAATTTTAAGGTTCTTTAATTCTTCTCTTATTTGCTTCCTAAAACCTCCCATGTTTTTGTAGCAAAAGATTTTGTTAAAAATCTTTTTGAACAATCTTCCCTCCATCATCCTTTTCATGTGCCCATAGAACATCAGCCTTCTGATTCATATCTAAGTTTTCAGGTCTTTGATTTTTCTGTAGATATCTTCGTTAGATCTTTGCCTGTAACCTTCTTGCGTTTTCTTGGGCCCATAAATTTTTTTAAGATCCTCTTTTCTATTCTTAGAAGGTTTTCTAAGTTGGATAGGTAAACAACTCACTTTTATATGATTACTTTTGTTCCCTACTATGGCTCCTTAGCTATTTTGTATAATTAATAACGTACTTTAGTAATAACGTAGTTATAATTAATAAAACAAGAAAAAACTGAAAAAAATAAAGGACAACAGAAGTTTTTACCCAAGAGTTATGTCTGAAAAGCATTAAGTATTCATTCTCTAATTTAACCAAATTATTACATTAATAAAAATCTGTTGTGGTGCAGGCATAACGCAACTTTCACTTATCAACCTCTTCTTAGCAGAAAAAGGTATTTTCATAAAAAGGGGAAGAGAACGTAAAAATCATAGACGCTATATTTATTTATTAAAATATAGTATTTATTTAATTTTTGCCGACTAACTAAACACTGTTTCAACTGCCTCCCGCAGTGCTACATCCTACGACCTGCAAAGTGGGTCGAAACGTCAGCAAAAATTAAATAACTACTATATTTTAATTTAGAATTTATTTGACCGCACCCCCCCCCCAATTAACTCCTTCTCATATTATATCAATGGTCAACCATCTCTACATCATTATATTTATTTATATTTCATTTTTTCATTACAGGGTATTTTTATTTCTATAAGTACTCTAATATATATAAATTTTAATATTTATATTGCTGTAATCTATACAATTAAATATTTAATAATACCAACAATAGCATTTATGAAAACAGCATATATATACGTTTAGTTCCTCAATTACAACTATTCTCTGTTTCGATCTCTTATTTCTTCTTTAGTTAATTATCAATTTTTTTTATATTTTATATTCAACTATCTTTTATATTAGAGATTAATGTGAAATGGTCAATTTTTTCGAATAAAAAAAATTGAAGGTGCTTTAGGGGAAGCTAATATCACCAAGTAATAATTCACATTTTATTAGAAAGGCTTAACATAAGTAGGTATTCATTAGTTTTTGTTGCTACAAACCAGAAATCACTGTGTGCATTACTGTAAGGTTATAATATAAGCAATGTTACTTCAAAATATAATGTTTATCTAACATCAAAATCAGGAATAAAAGTAAATACATGAACAGACTACTTACTTCTCCTTCCAATCTTTGAGAACCCTATTCGTGTAGAACTGCCCAGCATCATTCATTTCCTTTATATAAGGAGCTGGAGCAGGTTTCTGAAACAGATAAATTTGTTTTAATCCGATGAAAATAATTAACTAGACCAGAAAAAAATAGTAAATAAAACAGAAATACGCACACAACTTTATTTTAAATATTAAAACGGACTTAAAAATGACCGGTTAGAGACACAACATATTCAAGGAAACAAAGGCTGTAAAACAATAGCACAACTTCAATTCACATGTGCCATTCAATGGGGAGAGGGAAAGAGAAAGAGAAATGGAGGATTGCAGGAGGGAAACTGCAAATCCAATTAGTAGCAACTTTATCTGCTAACCAGTCAACAACCTGTCATCAACAGGTGTTTTGTAATTAACAGATTTGTTAAAAATGCAGTCACTTAAACAAGTGATAATAGAATTAAGTATTTAAAACAAAAATTAATATGGGTTGATATAAAAAAAAAATAAAAAAACATGCAAAAATAAATAATTAAGTTCAGATTTATTACAGAAAAACTTGAGAATAAGCTCAAATTATGTAAAAAAATTATGATATTCTTTATCCTGTCAAGTAAAATTAACCCGGTTTTCAGTAAAAATGACAACAATTAGTTGTTGCAAAGCTTTTATTTCTATAATGTTTTTCATGATCTGGGATGTGTTCTAATAAAACCAATTGCCTAACCACACATTTTATTTATAAAAAATTAATTTGAAAAATACTGATTTTTCAAATATTCTTTGGATAAATTGATTATAAACTATATTTTTCATACAGATGTCTATTATAAGAATTGATCTGTATTTGTGAGTGACAAAATAAAAGTTTCTAGTCGTAATACTAACATCAGGAACATCTAGTTTGTCACTTACGAACTTAAAGATTATTAAATGAAGACGTTTTTGTAAAAGTGGGGTAACAGTAGTATAGTTGGAAGATGATAAAACAAAACCGGGAATATATTATGATTTTTCTAAAAACAGAACTCAGCTTAGTTTAACCGCTCAAAAGTCGTCTGTAAATGATCTTAACAATGATAAACTCTTGGTTCATTTAAAAAAAAAATCATCTTATTTAAAATGAAGCAATTATTTATTACTTAAATTAAATATTTCTTAAGTTATTGCTTTCGATTAAATAAAAAACATGACTCACTTAAAAAAACACAAAACTTTGATTTTTTACTTTTCTGCTGAAAATTGGACCATGTTTATCTGAACTTGTTTGTAGCTCTTGAGGTCTGCTATCATTCCTATAAAAATTTCCCTCTACTTACGGGACACCCTGTATAGCTAATAGCTAGCTAAAGCATATTAATAATAGATCGCTTGTGAAGCTGTGACATCATTTGGTACAGAAAATAAATTTTATACAAAATTTATGTTAAATTTAAATGTTTTTCATAAAACTCTGAAAATACAAGGTACACCCAGTCCAGTAGACACACTGATTAATTTATTTTAAACTAACCCTAGATCAGGATCAAACAAAGAAGGACCTTATTTATCTAAACCCGTGATTACTAAAATTCATAGGTATCTTTTATAAAAAATAAATCATAACAGTTGGCTATTAAATAAATAAAAATAATAACTCACCATAGTCACCCATCCTAGAGCAGGAACACTTTCTGATATAGCAGAAAGGTGATTGAAGAAAGGCGATGCCCTATTTTTGTCACGAACAGATTGGATTTGTTGGATGTAGGTGGATAATGGCGCTAAAAGTGACACCTGCTCTGATTGGTCTGGCTCAGGTCTGCTACCGGCGATTTCAATATACTCCAGCTGTGCTCTAATAACATAAATAATATCAATAAATAATCTAAATAAAAAATTTAAATATCGATTGTAAAAACTAATATTTCCTGTTTCACACTATTGTTTATTTCATAAAAAAAACAACAAAAAAAAAACAATAAGGAAAAAAAAAGTAAACATTGATGTAAGATTGGAAGTTGATAACCACACCACTTGTCCACAATATTGTTTCATAGCCAAAAATTATTAGATTAAATTAATTTCACCTTTTTGTATATGTAAAAAAGAAAAAAATATTATAGCTTCAGAATACTCACTTAAATGCACCTTGTACTAGGTTAGCCTGTTCGGCGACGGGGCCTCCTATCTTATGGGAGAGGCTAACAAACGTAGAGAGAGGACCATCAATGATGTCCCGGAACCCGGTGGTGTTGACAACCATCTCTGCTGTGTTCTCACAACAAGGACTGCTATCTAATACTGGAATATAATAATAATATAAAGATTATTAACACCATCAAATAGGAAATCGTGAATTAACATAAAATTAAATAAATAAAATTAACTTTAGAGATTGGTATATAGTTGACTGTTGAAATTGTAAGGATGAAAACTGGTTAGGATAATGAAGAATGATTTGGCCAAAATACAAAATTTAATTTCTTTTATATATTATTTTTTAATAGTTAGACCTGATGATGACCCATATTTTGGGTTGAAGTGTCGGCAAACTCAAAGAAATTTTTGACTGGACATCCTGACCCTTTTTCATCAAAATGAAATTAATATTGATACATCAGTCAGGAATAAAATTCTATGTAAGTTTTTTTTCATTTGGAACATAATATTAATTAGTGATTCATTTGCCTATTGGTCAGTAATAAATTAATCAAAATTTGTCTTTGACTGCAAATTTATTTGAACGTTTCAAGGAAAGCTTCGTTCGCCTCTTCAGCAAGCAATTCTTCACCCAAGAAATTGGATAAGCCACAAAATTCAAGACAATAAGATTGGTCAATGTTATGTTACGTTTTACAGTTAAATACCATTTATCAATCTTAGTGTGTTGAATTTTTTGATTTACCCAATTTCTGAGATGAATTATATATTGCTGAAGAGGACAAAGCTTTCCTCGAAATTTTCAAATAAATTTGCAATCAAAGACTAATTTTGATTAATTTATTTCTGACCAATAGGCAAATGAATCACTATAAAAAATAACAAAGGTCAAACATGTATAATGAATAATATTATTTATTCAAATAAGTTTAAATTAGTTGTCTTAATGATTAAACTTTTAATCAGTAGATATAATCATAGTTGAATTCATGAAATAAATATTATAAAGACATTCCAGTAAATAGGGGAAAGAAAAATTATTTACTTTTAACCCAGTTGTAATTTAAGTTTTCTATTTACTTCTCAATGCACTTTTTTACCAAAGTGAATCAGTTCACTCAATAATCTGATAACTCAAAAAGATGAAACAAAACTATTCGCAAATGCTGATATAAATAAAAGAAAAGATTTCTTTGGGCAAAATACAAAACAAGTATTTTTGCAGCAGAATTTTTATTGTCACTTTCCTACATATGTAATATATAGATAGTATGGGAAAGTAATACGATCGTGAAAATTGTCTGAGTTTCCAACGGAAATACACGTTTTGAGGTCCCCTGAGTCCAAATAACCAAGTCTCGGAAAATGGTCTGTGTGTGTGTGTGGAAAATGGTCTGTGTGTGTGTGTGGAAAATGGTCTGTGTGTGTGTGTGTGTGTGTGTGTGTGTTAGCTAGTAGCTAAAAAAACGAAAAATCGTACGAAAGTTAAATTTCATATTTAAGGTTTTATATACCTGAGATCTTACAGAAACTTCTTTGTAATAATCGGCTAACTGGAAGTAGCACTTTATATCATCGATGTAAAGTAAACAAAAAATGTAACACATTTTTAAGATTTTCTCGAAAACGGCACTAACGATTTTGGTTAAACTCGGTGTATCAATGTATATTTAAGTAATCTTAAAAATCACTTAGGTCTTATCCCGGGTGACATTAAACAAAAATTCTATGCAAGTCCGGTCAATGGCCTTAATTCCTTACGAAGAACGATAATTGAATCTTGTGAAACCTATAGAGTGCCGTTCTGCCACTGCTGCAGTTGAAGAAAGATACCGAGCCTGTCTTAATACTCAAGGAAATGAATATTTAACATTTAATATGAATGTTAATGTTTACATTTAATTAATTAAGCATTTGGAAAAATAAATAAGTTTTCTTTACTTATTATAACGTAAATAATTCATAACAACGAAAATCTTTCGGTGTTAAGCAAAGCGTTTGCGGAAATACCTTCAGAGGAATTTTTTTCTTGTTTTGAGGTCCTTAGTTCATTTTTTCAGTTTGGCCACTTAAGCCTGAAACACCCTGTGCATATATGTACATAGCTCAGAGATTGGAGTTATGTGGTTTACAAAAACAAAAGGAGTAACGAGGTTTATATTGCCTATCGTTGAGATAATTAATAGAATTTTTGTTAGAGTTAATGATTTGTTAGCTATAAGCTTTAAGCTGTTGTAGCTACGTTAAAATGAACTTAAAAACTTTTATTCCTAACTCTGTTTTACTCCAAAAAATAATTTCTATTTAAAGTTGAGCGGTAAGTGAAAGTTGTGTGTTGAGTACACCAGATTTTTTTAATCTTCATGTAGGCGAAAACGAGTCCCAAGAAATAATGTCAGGTTAATCGATTAAGAATTATTAAGGAAATAACCGTATTGAGGAGGAAATAACATGGGTTTAGAGGACTCGAAGCTGGATGCCAATATCAAGAAAAGGCCTTTACATAGTTCCCTCTCGAACCCCAACCCCGAATTGACGAGATTGGATTTAATATCATCTTTCCACCCTTTCCCGTCGGCTCTCGGCATTCATAACTATCTCAAGATTTACTCCATTTCCAATTTCAGAATATGTACCGCCGAAGCGGAACGATTTTCTCGCCCTCTGTTTACTAACATTTCTGTCAGTTTAAATAGCGACCTCATTCCTATTTTATCAAGAAGATTCGTAGTCGGGTCCCCCATCCACTTGGGTTACCGGGGCATAGTAGAATTTGATCATTAAATACAATAAACATTTTATATATTTGTATATATTTATAGTAGGATTTTATGATTAAAATGTCATAGGTTGTTAAAAATTAAATTATAAAATATCATTTAGGCATTCCTCGATCTCTCGCCAAGGTAGTAACCGAAAGTCACAATTACCTGAGCAAAGTTACCAACTTCATAAAAGACAAAGATGTTTAAATAAGGTAAATAATGAGAATTTGCGTATGGAAATAGGTAAGGAATTCTAATACAAGGTACCACGTATGAAAAAGGATTTTTCAAAGAAAATAGTTCTATAAAGGGGTGCCCAGAAAGGGGTTTGATCTAAGTTCTTGAGGGGGGGGGGAGGAGGCATATTTTGATGAGTTTTTTAATTTTTGCGGGAGCACATTTCGATGGGGTTATGAATTTTCAGACTAAGGGACAAGGTGACAATATGGAACAGGCTGCAGCAAGAGCAATTGTATATGATCTACGATTTTTCTAATCCTGCCTTACTCTATGTTTAAGAATAGGATAGCGGATGGGCACCCCTGGTTCTATGAGAAGGAATAAACAAGTTTTTGGGCTGACATCTTGTGATGAACGAATGAACAGAGGTCAAGGAGTAAGCATATCAAGAAGGTATGAGATTTTTGTGGTTGTAAAGGTTCGGAAAAAGAAAATATTAAGGAAATACTGCCGTCGGAATACAGTAGGGGTGCCCATCTCCCCTAAGGTCGATGGTGCAAGAACTCAAGTATCTTGTATCGACTTCCAAACGATAGCCTTGAGGATAACCCATATGTTCGGGTCGAATCGTCGGCTAACCCAATGAAAATATCGACTGAAATTTCTGACAATTTGTTTTCATCCTTATAGTTATATCATAATTTTAGCCTCAACACTTTCCCTTACTATATATTAAAAATATAGTTAAGTGGAAGTAAAAATCTTAAACGGGAGAGCATATTGATAGAAGTAAAGAGAATTAACTAAAAGTTGAGGGAAAATTAAATGAGCGTACAACTTGGGCTCAAAGGTTTAAAAAGGATCCCGATATTGAATTAGAGGAATGAAGAAGTCCTAAAAAAAAAAATAAAAATGGTGGAGTAAGTTAAGGGAAAGTACTTAAATGAAAACAGAATGCTGAGAAAATTACTTATTAAACAGAAAAGAGGAAGGCTAAAAGTAAAATAATTTTATTAACAGCAAAGTTATTCGAAAATTCTCATTCCAATGAATAAATAATTTTAGTTAAACCGCAGCCTCATTTTTCTCGACCTTTCGGATAAGGAATTCAGAGTAAATAATTTTTAAAAATGCTCTTTGAACAAACCAGAATAAACGGGATATTCAAAAGGCAAAAAATATTTTAGATTACGTCAGGAATGCCTTCAGATATAAGAAATTAATTATATATATATATATATATATATATACATTTTTTTTTGTTAAAATAAATCATTTTATCTCCAATAACAATCTTTAAAAAAATTAAAATCAACAATTGTTTATTTCCACTCTTTTAAGCCCGTGAGATAAATTAAAATCAATATGTGTAAGAGAGGCAGTAGTTTTCGTGTTTTAAGTAAACAGCCCAATGCCCAATAATAAAAACAATTGACAAAGGGGAATTTCTCCCGATTTTCATAATTTTCTCCCTATGATACTACCTTGGAAATGACAGATCAACACTCCTTTGTCCGTTTTGTCCAATGGACCTCAGGAGTTCAGAATAAAAATAAACAAAAAGTGCTTTAATTAAATCTTGCATTTGGAAAATATCGGAATCAATGCTTTTGCTAAAAAAAAAAGAAATAAAAAAAAGAGAAGATTTAAGAAAATATAAAACCGTCAAAAAATAACTTGAATTGACGAACTAAATTTTAAAAAAATAATTAACTTATTAAGTAAACTAGCCATAAAGATTTTCATACTAAAAACGATGGTATGTATTGATTTGGCACAACCGAAAAACCTTCATGTTGAAAGTATCATGAGAAACAAATATTTTCTTTTTTAAGTTGGATTCAAAATTTTCAAAGTCACAAATCGATTAAAGTAAATCGATAGTTTTTCATAACCCTCTAACTTTGCTTTGAATAGGATTAAAACTTCTTGCACTGTGGGCAATATATAAAGTGAGAAATACGCAAATGCGAGGAAAAGATGGCATTCTAATGGCATCTAAAGAAAGTATATTGAACATCTGGAAAGAACATTTCCAGGAACTTCTCAATCAAGGAGACCTTACGAACGAAGAAGACATGCACCATACTGAGGACCTTGACACAGAAGAAGTTGAAAAACCAGATTTATTGGATGTAGAAATAGTCACAAAACAAGAAAGGCCCCAGGGACAGAGAACCTACATAGTTAGTGAGA